TTTTTTTTTTTTCTAAATTTGGTGGAATAAATAGGCAAAAACCCTTCTCAAGCTCCCAAACTCATCCACAAATAGCATTTAAGTCCTTAAACTAAAAACAAATTAGATAAACTCTCAAACTCTACTAATGATACAAATAAGTCGCTCTTATTCATGGGTGTTCATACTTTTAAGGTGATGTTAAACATGAAATACCATTTGACCCATTTGTGAGAAGTGCTGATTTGCATCATTAGTACAGTTAAAGGGTTTATTTATTTTATTTTTAATTTGGAATTTAAATACTATTTTGAGATAAATTTAGGAGCTTAAATGTTATTTTAGGATAAATTTAGGGACTTAAAAAAGAATTTTTTCCTAATAAATATATTTTTTATAATAAATTTATATTAAAAAAGAATTTAACTTTTAGTCTTTTACATAATTTATTAATTATTTAATTAAATTTATTTACTTAACATTAATATTAAAATTTTATTTAAATTTATTTCATTGTTGGAAGTAATTGCAAATTGCAAACTACGCAAGCACAAGTTGAACATTTAAAAGAATATTTAACTTAATTAGCTTTCGATATTAATTATGTTTTGTTTCTTTTTCAGTGCTTAACAGGAAGGGACAAGGGGTCGTTCAAGTGGTTGGCATGAAATTGAGGTTTTACCTAACTTAGTCATATCAAAGCAGTTCTTCCTTGGACTTACTATTTTGTTCTTATTTTTTTTTATTTGTATTTGTGCTTTAATTTTACTTTCTTAATTCGTTAATTGCTGTATTTTGACATTCAGTTTTTGTGCATGGAAGATTTCAAGAAACCTCAGAGGCTTGTGATGCAAATTACTAATTCGGGTTCAATGGTTTAATGATCAGCTATGGATTGTGATTCTTGTGATTGACAGTTATTAGTTATATATATGTATATAAGATAATGAATTATATAATAAGAAATAACTTTTCTTTTCTCAAACACTTTCATCTTTATTTTAGGATTTAAACTTAAAATTTCCAATTTAAAAGCTCAAGTTTATAACCAATAAAACGTTTAGTCATTTGTTTCTCCTTTGTTCTTACAGGTTTGGTAACATTGCTTGCACATTTCTGTGTGTTTTTAATACTCAAAGCTGTAAGTGGAAGGGGACTACCTATTGCTCTCTAGTCCTAATGTTGGTGGTTTGTTCTTTTATATCTTACAATGAAAGAAATGAGAGAAAGGAAGTGTCTCTGTAATATCCAATATGTGAGTTTTAACATGTTATATTATTACCACCAAACCTCTATCTATATATTACTTAATAACCCTTATCATTTAAATGTGATTTTGATGGGATTGCTGCTGCTGAGCAACCCAAACCAATGAATGAGTTTCTCACTTCTCTTATTTTTTTATGAGTGAGTTTTTACCATTTCAATGAACAGTTATTTGACAAAATAATATGATATGAATTTAATGTGAAATTTTATTTGAAATTCACTTGTAACTATTTTGTACCATACTAGTAGGTACAAATTTTCTCCCCTCAGCAATATTTGACCCTTCAACTCATAAGTAAATTTTATTTATATAACAATAGCCATATGGCATTTACATGGAAAAAAATAGTTTTATCCTACAAATAAAGACAGACAACCATACGTAACGCAATTTTAAATATAATTACATTTTGCTCTCAACACATTTTTTAATATTATAGAAAGGTGGTGAAAATATCACACAACGACCCTTTGAAGGAACCATTATTACTATATATCCACATGTTCCTTGGTCGGATTGCAAATCTCCGATGGACATACCCTGTCGGATTCTATACATATAATCAACTCAGAACTGACACACTCAGTCTAAATATTCTTTGATTGTTCACCATTACCACACAGATGAAGAAGATCTGTAATAAGAAGAGAAATTAATAAGAGAGCATGAGCTCAGAAAGACCAGATGTGTTGGTATCTTT